ATTTAAAAATTTATTTTATTAAATTTTAATGTTTTAAATTAAAAAATTAATTATATTAAAGTATATAATTAATTTTTAAATTTAAATATTAACATTTAATAAAATAAATTTTTTTAAATTAAGATTTTAATTTTTAAATATAAATAAAAACTCTAATTTGTTTAAATATTAAAACTTATATACGTTAATTTTTATATATGTTTTAATTATATATTAATATTATAATTATATAGTATATTATAATTTCACACTAATTACATAGCATTGTAGAGCCGTTTGCAATATTTCTTACGGTGTTCTTTCGCATTGCATTTTGGGGACGAAAGGGTAAATATAAAACGTAGGTTAGCAGTCCAAAGTGAGGACTTTTCTCGAGGGAGAAATCTAGAAACGGGTTGAGGAAATTGTGGAATTAAATGGAGGAAAGAAAATTGGAAGTAGAGTAATTACAGTGTTACTATATATGAGCAGATCTGGCTTTGTTAGTATTAGACAATTTTCAAACAAATTAATTACACTGAATCCGTATAGCTTAAGAAAGCACGTGGTGAATTCAAAAATGGAAAGTAAAAATTAGTGAGTCTTCAACTAGAGATCAACTTTCTCAAATTTTTTCAAATATTTTCGTTATTTATATATTTTTATGTATTAATATTATAATAACAAATAAAAGTAATATTATGAATATTCATTTTTTCAATATAATTTTTAACTTATAAAAATTTTCTTCTCATTTATTTTGAAAGAAAAAATTTTTATATATAACTTTTTTTATATATATTTGACTCACTTTACTACATTATTTATTAACTTTTTTATATTAATTTTTTATCCAATAAATAAAATTAATAATCTAATAAAATTCTAACAAAATTTTTTAAAAAAACTTAACAATTTTCTATATAACATTTTCATAAGTTTTTATCGTAAAGAATGTTTTAATTTAGTTATCTCACTTTTTATTTATATAAGATATTAATTATTTTACTAACTTTATCCCTATTATTTGAGTCTATTTATAAGTTTTACTCCCTTGTTCTTAATAATAGTAGTCATTTTTTAACTCATAATTTGTCCTAAATTAATTATTAATTTTTTTATTTTAACTTTATCATTACTTTTAACTTTAATTATCCATTCTATCACAAAAAGTCTCTGTTTAATTTTATCTCTTCTTTCAAGGGTAATATAATAAAGACATAAATTGCTACAACTTCTTCATATGAATTAAAAGCAAAGAAATAAACATTCATAGATTATTCTTGACATAGATAGCATTAGGGATAAATGTGTAACTCCATTATTATTTTTTTTTTTTTTGTTGTCCCAATTTAGAGTTGCACAATCAAAAAGACGATATAGGGAGCAACTAAAAGAATAAGATTACGTCCTAAAGAGATATCTCAATTGGTTAAGAATTTAATATTTTAAATTAAAAATTTTAAACTTAAACTTGAGTAGATTGGAGAAGAATTTGAGAAAATATGAGGATTTTTTTCACATCAATTGATATTAAAAAAATAAAAATTAACCTTATTTGATCAACTGTCTAGTTAAAATAAGTCACGTGACATTGGTAATAAAATTAATGTATGCTTTTGTTATTTTTAATATTAATTAATGTTAAACATGTGTATTAATTACTAATACCGGTTAGAAAAATCTTTATTTTAAAGCTAAAAAACACTTATCTCTTCATAGGTTAGAATAATAGGGGTATTGTTGAAATGAGAGCCTTTAAAGTACTTTAAACATAGAAAGAAGGATAATTAAATAAGAATACTCTATTTAATAAGTGGGACAAAAAAAAAAAAAAAGAGGAAAATGTATTTTAAACCTTAATTATAAAGCTCTAATATATGTAGAGTCAAAGTTAAGATGATTAAAATGAAAACGGAGGGACAACATAAATAAAAGGTTTTAAAATTATCCGATCCTTTATTTATTATATAAAAGTATAATTGAAACTATATATAAAAAATCAAAATAAGACAACTAAATAAAACCGTACAGAGTATAATTAACAATTCTCATAATGGATTGATTATGCACATGATATCAATCTTTAAATTCGTTGTTTTATTTATGTAAATTATGCACATTACATTCTAAATTTTATTTATCAACGCCAAATGTCTAGTTGATTTAACATCTTTAACCAAAATAATCGATTAAATATGCAAACAAATTACAGTGATGTATTCCTAATCTATTTTCATGAAATTTGACTATTGTTCAATAGAAGTTAATGAGTGTAAACTTATAGGACAATAATTGGTATACTATTTGATTTAGCATATTTTATAATACACTCATTAAAAAATTATTATTTTTAAATTTAAATTCAGAATAAAAAAATTTTCAAGTATAAATTTTAATTATTAAACTGCTGAGTATTAACAGGTATATTGAATCAAAAAGTATACTAATTATTTTCCTAACTTGTATACCCAGCATCTCTCACTTACTCTGCCTATTTGGAATTAGCCTAGGGTGTCACATACTTTATCTCTAACATTTTCTTTTGAATACCTTTCTTTTATAATTGGGTTATATTGGAAATTTAAGAACCTTTTTTTCATTCTTTTAGGGTGGGTTTGGTTCGATGGAAATGGAGGGAAGTGGAGGACATTAATGAATTTTTTGACTAGTCGAATTGCACTTTTTTTCAATGTTATAATTTGATTTTGACTCTTTTTTTCAACATTATAACTTAATTAATTAAAAAATTATCCATCCCCTTTATTTCTTTCAAACCAATCATACTCTTAAAAATTAAAAATTTAATTTATCTCTAGAATTAGCATATCCTCAAACTTTGCTTTATCTGAAAAAGATGTTAAACAATCCTCAATAAACATTAGAACTTAGAAGTGTTCCACATAAAAGGAATAAAACCCTCGTAATTTTATGTTATTTTTTCTTTGTTTTTTTGTTTTTTTTTTTTTCTATCGGTCTCAACATTTCCTTTTGTTTTAAGTAAAAAAGGAAAGTTTTATCAAAAAAAGAAGTAAAAAAGGAAAGAAAGAAAAATGATGACCTAACTTTTACACATATTGTCACAAGCAAATTGCGAATGACAATAATTATTATCTAAGGTCCCCACATTCCTCCATTCCAAAGGTGGAATCTCCTTTTAATTTTGCTTAATTTTAATTAATGCAAAGTGCACTTTAATAGATTCCATTGATTCACCCCTTCATCGTATCCAATAAAACTATGTAGATAGTAGCTACATAGTAGCACCTTATCTGTGACTAAGCTTTTGTCCGTAATTCTAGCTGATTAGGGAAACAGGAGTCCAATTCAGATTTCTTGTAAAGGACCAAATCCAAAAAGAGTAGTCTAGAAACCCTAGTTCCTTAGTTTGTGTGACTGTGTCTTCCCACCAAGAATAGATTTAGTGTAGAGCTTTCTTCTTTTTCCAACTTGAAGCCTAGGTTTTTTTCATTCATGCAAAAAAATTCAAGGTCTTTTAACTTCTTGTGGTTTTTTTCCCTAAAACGTTGACTTGAACCTCTTTATTTTCTAGTAATTTTTTTAAGCCCATGGTAGTTTGGTCACTATAATGGAAGGTTATTCTAGAATTTTTTTTAGAGAATAAAAATTAAACCTTAATTACTTGTGAAGAGTACAAATGACTTTACTATTAAGTCATATGAGACTTATAATAATAAGTTCTGTTGCATAATACAATGTGTAATCTTCTACTTTACCATTTGTCACCTCTAAATTTTGCCATAACTTCAAATCTAAAGTCCATATTATAGACACAAAAAAAATCTTCAACCATTGGATCGTATTGTGAGCTAAGATTGGACAAGATTCGCATGTTGTCACGCACACCAAATCAAAATCCACAAATAAGAATCTTGACAAAATTATAGAATATTGCATTATTATGTCCTATTAAAATAAAATAAATTAAAACATGCGGTTAAATAAGATGATGACATGTGTCTTATTTGAATTAAATATAATCAAGACATGTGGCAAAATTGTATAGCTTAACTATAATATGTGAAATATTCTTTCAAAGGTGCTTCCTTCATTTCCCTATAAATAGAGGCATTCACTCTGAAGAGAGGGGACCTAGATTCTAAATAGAAACACAAGCACTCTACTGTAATTGTGTCTCAAATCTTGTAAATGCCTTTAAACCTTAAAGTTTTTCCCAAACTTTCCTCTTGTTGAGATCAAGCTTCATTCAAGCCCTCATCAAGGTGTACATCAATTAGGAGAGGAGATCCCAACTTTGGAGAGAAGCACAAGCACTCCATTGCGATTGCATCTCAAATCTTATGAAAGCTTTCAAACCTTTAGGTTCTTCACAAACTTTTCTCTTGTCAAGATCAAACTTCATTCAAACCCTCATCAAGATCTACATCAATTAGGAGATTGAATTAGAGGATTACTTTAAAGTCTTTGTTTACTCAAAGGTTGTACTCACAAATCTTAA